ACTTTTACATTTAACAAAACTGGATAACTGGGACACTGAAACAATGAAACAAGAATTTGGCTTGTCCGCCGCTATCACGGTTCAAAGAGAGTATAGGCGCACGTTTGGCGGCAATCCTCCGAGCAGATGGACCATAATGAGACTTGTACATAATTTTGCCGAGCATGGGACAGTCAAAGAAGACCTTACCATCGAAACCCTTCAGTTCGAATGAAGGAAACAATCGCTGCTGTATCCACGTGTTTCGACAAGAAGCTTATCTGCTCAAATGGGAGTAAGCAGATAGTCATTACAGTCATTTATGCAAAAAGATTTGGACTTATTCCCATATAAAATTCAAATGGCCAACAAACTGAACGCTGCAGACTTGCCGATTCGCTTAGAATTTTGCCAGAAGATGCTTCAAATGGAGGAAGAGGATGGATTGAACTGTCTTTTCATGTCTGATGAGGCCCATTTCGATTTAAACGACAACATAAATAAACAAAATTGTAGAATATGGAGTGCTTCCAACCCACAGATACTCCATGAGACGGAATTGCATCCACTTCGTATCACCGTGTGGTGTGAAGTTTCATCACGCTGCATTGTCGGGCTTTACTTCTTCGAAGAAAACGGTCACACCGTTACGGTTACTGGAGACCGTTACTTGAGCTTGTTGAGAGAGTTTTTCTATCCAAACTTACGCCGAATGAGAATTTATTTCAACTCTGTGTGGTTTCAGCAAGATGGTGCAGCTCCTCACATAGCCAAACCTGTTATGACAGAATTGAGACGAAAATTTCCCAATAAGCTGATACCCAGAAACTCCACATTCCGTTGGCCACCCAGGTCGCCTGACCTTACTGCACCTGACTTTTTCTTGTGGGGTTATTGCAAACAGGAAGTCTACAAAGCAAAACAACAAATTTGAATGAACTAAGGCAATCCATTCGAGAAAMAATTGMGGCTATTCCTGTCTCAACTCTCCAAGCAGTAATGAACAACTTTTTGGTAAGATGCCGCACATGCATCAACGAGCAGGGGGTATTCAAATTCCATTATTTTTAAAACTAATTAAGCTAAAATAAAAATGAATTCCATACACTGAAAAAAAATTATTTGAGTTTCTTAATGTAGCAAAATTCATCAGCCACCCTGTTTTCTAATTTTTAAATTATATACATATAATCTGCGAAGTTTGCTAACTCTTAACATAAATTCGTGTATTGGGTACAAATTAATTGATAAAACAATTGGATAAATAATGTTAAGTCGCGCTGAAGAAACGTGTCGCTAATTTTAATTACCAGGTCAGTCTACTATATTTAAAAAGTCAATCATTTGTTATAATAAATTTACTTTCGGAATAAATTGTTAAAGTTCGGCTTTTTTGAGGTTGTTATACTGAGGAAAGTTTCGTTTCATAGCTTATAAATCAATTTTTTGAATAAAAAGACTACAGCATCAATAGTTATAAAAATTTTGAAAAATATTTATATAAAACTTTCGATTACGCAGTCAATATTTCAGAAAAAATTTAAAGATTTGTAGTTAGACGCGATCTCTTACGACGCTACCAAATTCCTGCAGTGATTTCCAATAGAAAATATATTACTTTTAATGCTCGGCTTTGAACAAGAAGATTCAATAAACAAATATAAAAATAAACAAAAACAAGAAAAAAAACGTTAACTTTGGTTGCATCGAAGCAAAATATCATTCACAGGTGCATTTCTGTTAGTAACTATGTGTTCATATATGTATGGAAGCTACATGTTCATATATGTATGGAAGCTACATAGCCTTAGTAATCCGTTCTAAACTATTCTTTTTGGAGATTACATAAAAAATCATCTATACCAAATTTCGTGAATATATCTTGTCAAATGTGAAAGTTTTCCATACAAGCATTTGATAGAGGCCGTTCCAAAAAAGGGCCACTTTTTGAAGAGAAAATGACGTTTGCAAAATTTCAAAACGATATCTTGGAAACGAGGGACTAGTTCGTATATATAAAGACAGACAGACGGACATGGTTAAATCGACACAGCTCGACATACTGATGATTTATATACTCGTATATACTTTATAGGGTCGCTGACGCTTCCTTCTGGGTGTTACAAACTTCGTGACAAACTTAATATACCCTGTTCAGGGTATAAAACACGATATTGTCCGAACAATGGTCCACGACTGAAAAAAATTAAAAATTTGCGGCATTAAATAAATTTGAATTCTCATTATTCACATCATTCACCGTATAGGGAATTATTACACAATAAACAGAGAACGCTGCTTTGAAAAAACGCGTTTAAGGGGGCACTAGGAGGGCAGTAGGGTAATCTGGCCTGTTTTTTTTTTTACATTTTTTTCATAGAAATTTTTACTCTACAAAAGAACTTTTTTCACACCATCTCATGATATGTGAAAAAAGTATCGTGGAGTATAGTATATAAACTAATTTTTTCGGAATATTTGATGAAATCTATCGGAGAAATGGCTGGGTGAATGAGATGCGTCTTTTCACTGACGGACACGATCTCTCATGTTTGGATCAGCTGAAACACAAAAACTCAATTTACTCGAAAAAAGCATGTGAATGGTTATCGTTCCTACTAGAATCATGAAGAAATGTTGATAACTAAAAAAGCAATTAACGATTTCTTTTTTTTTTTTTTTTGTTTAATTTTTCCCCATGTTTTTTTTTTTACATAAATGTTGTCATAACTTTGTCATAACTTTGGCGTTCATTTAAAACAAAAAAATTAAGCAGATCGGTTCAGTAGTACGACTAGAATCATGTCCACCGGTTTAAAAAAGTGTGTTTTGAGAAAAACACATTTAAAGTTTGGGGAACTGAAAAAGCATACAAAGACATAAACGTTGAAAACTTGATGTACCTATAATTACTATTTTTTAGCCTTTTTCGAAACCTTCCAATGGTAAAGTGGATCTACACTAATTTTAAGGGTATAAAGGAACAGAAAATGCCAAAAAAAACAACAACAAAACAAGAAACCTACTGAACCCTTCAAGACAAACTTATGAATCTGGTTGCGTGCAACTCAAAAATTACCTGAGATATCGATTCACACTTTTTGTTACTTTTAAAAGTATTCCTTTTAGGAAGCAAAAGATTCTTTACAACGTCACACTAAGCGACACCTTCAAGCTTAGATTTACTACAAATGTACGGTTATTATTTCTGAATCCAAATTCATATTTATCCAGCCTCAAAGTGCGAAAGTAAAAGTTAAGCAAAATTTAAAATTAACTTTAATACAAATACAAGCATAACTTACCAGAAACAAAGCAGTGCCAAAAGTTGCCGAAAATACACAACCGCTAACTGTTGTATCACAAAACTGCTGAGCTAGTTTTCGCACACGCACACACTTGCACCCACACAAAAACACTTTGGTAAATATGGAAATGAACGAAAGTGTGCAGTCAGCAGACTTTCTTAAATATTTCACTGATGCAGCTGAGGGAGTGTAAAGGTCGGACCTCGGGCAGACGCGCACCATGCGGCACACTATTTCAATATTTGGCGAAAGGGTAGCAAACCAGGCGAAAACACATAAACAGGGGGTAGGTGGGGTAAAAACGTCAGGAAAATTTGCGTTAATACGTTTGTTTGGTTGATTTATTTATATGAATTTTATTTAAAAAAAAAAACTTTTTTTTTGTTTTTAATATAATT